AACTGATTAATTTACTCGGATCAAAGGGGCCATAGGTAACATTGGGATCGCAGTTGCCGGCATTTAGGCGCTCGTGGTCGTCTGAAACGATAAATACTTGAGTTGACATGGTTCTGATTTTTCGGCTTCGACTAAAATTTTTCTCATTTTATTCGGGTGGGATTTCTGTCGCGAGTTGTTTACAGCCGGGGTCAAAAGTTGAGTGGAAATCCCCGGCGCTAGTCACGAGTTGTTTACAGCGAGTGAAGCGAGCGGCGCCGGGGTCAAAAGGTGAGTGGAAATCCCCGGTTTTGGGGTCGATGTACTACCCAGGGGTGTTGAGCAAAAACGGGGTTCACGTCATTCCAGGATTTTCCCATTTTTTCCCACCAAAAATGTTTCGACGATTTTTTGGTCGATGTACTACCCAAGGGTTTTGAGCAAAAACCGGGTAAAAAGGGGCGTTTGGTCCAGAACTCTCATTTTCCTACTACTCACCAAGACTGCTTTTTAGCAATAATTTGTCAGTTACTTTTGGATGAATGCAACTGATGGGCTGTCTACCTTCAAAGAATTGATGGAACATGCACAGTTTTCAAACCAGTGGCGTAACTACGACACATGTTGCAGAGGCACTTGGGGCCCTCCTTTTCTGGAGGGGATACTCAGTGGATTTGGTCACACTGACCAAGAGGTAATTTTGACAGGTTTTTATGATTGAAAACCTTTTTTCAAGCAGAATTTGAGATAACTGTGTAAAAGTAGAGAAACTTTTATGGCGGATGACAGCTGTGTGAGATCTATGGTAACTGAAGTTTGGTAAATTAAGGTTTCCAGCCTGGTGGCAATGGCCGAACTGACAAGTTAGGCCAGTTCCTTGACATTTCTATACGGTTCACTATAGGCCTACACTCTTCACGACACTACAAGAAGCAAGCCACAAATAAATTAAAGTTAGATGCAGCGCAAACATTTGGCGTTCAGAAGAGTCGAAATTTTTCAGTCGACCCCATGCCTGTTTCTCCGTACAACCCGAGCGCAAACGCACAAAGGTGTGGTGATGCAGAAATACACTGCAGGCTTAGTTCTTTGGCAAAAAGCCTGCTGAAAAGCAAAGAGGTAACTCGTAAGCTTAATTGGCAATACCTTCATACATGCGTCCGGTTTGCTTTGCTCACAAGCCGAGAAACGAGGGCTCAGAAGGCTTTTCCCAGCTTACAGCATGCGCTAGGAGTCGATATAGGGGTACATATATAGGTGCATGGAACGCTAATTTCCTGCATGGTTCCATGGCTAGAGCACCAAAGCGCAAATGTTCTCGGCCGGAGCATTATTAAGACAAGACACATTGGTGGCGTTGTCCATCCTACTGTCCACTATTTTGTGTCCCTGTGGAAGCCACTTTTAAAATGCCATCACTCTTCACCCTAAGACTGGTACCTATGTCCCCTT